AAGTCCTTGTGAAGTTAAAGGTTTACAGCTTTGACTGAACTGCTGTATCCCCCTGGTTCACTGAAGGAGCTTGAAGGTTGTATTTGGGGCCCCCAGACATTCTCCATGCCCTAGGCTCCTTCTTGGGTTGTCTTGTGGATGATCCAGCTCCGGGCTGAGTGAAAAAATGAGAAGTGCCAGGTGGCAAAGGGTTCAGATGAATTAATTGTCTCCCATCTGCAATACTTCCCTCCCTTTCACTCCGCTCAAACTTCATTCACCCCTTGGAATGAAGAGAAGATGCCCTATGTAAGATTACATGTAGTGAATGACTCATTCTCCATTTACACAAGACAGCACTGGTGCCTGGTGATTGGTCACTGAGACATCCAGCACTACATCATGAGAGGAAGGAAAAAAGGTCACATGATCCCCCAATCTCAGAAGTACCAGGCATTGCCCCTTACTCCAGGTCGCCAAACTGAGCATTGGTGGACAGTATATATATATAATTATATAAAACATGGGGTTTGGGGTTCTGGACAGAGACTCCCAGCAAACAAAAAAGGGTTAAAGAGGCAAGTAGACGGGCTTTTGATTTTTTCTCTGAAATATAAATACCTCTTTTAAAATAGCCAGGCCTAGCCAATGTTTGTATAATTCACTGCTTAGTGTAGGAACCATTGCTGAGCCAAATGCAGAGGATGCAGTGAGTTCTGTGATACAAGAAAAAGGCTGCTAACCAGTTTGATTAAAGTGGACCTTTACCCCCTTTTACTAAAAATCACATCAGCGTGCAGCTATGCATGCTGACTTAAAATCATCTTACATTCATTAGTTAAGCAAATGTGTTTTTCATTTACTTATAAATAGAGCTCATCTACTTCCTGGTCCAATTCTGGCACAAATGATGTAATGTACTGAAGCATTGCATCCTGGGAAGGTTACATCAGCAGAGCATTGCCGGGAAATCTCATCTATAATCTCATGAGATCTCAGGGCATTTTCATTCCCTGAGATGATGTACATGGTCACATGTCCTAATCACATGTGTGACCTACCTGTTTTGTGACCACTCGCACTTACGACGGACCGCCGATCGACCTCCGACCTTGCGCGTCAGTGTGCCGTGTCGCCGGCGGAAGTGGTGTCCTCCGATCTTCACTGCGGGTCCCGGTAAGTATTTTCATTGCCCGATGTACAGTACGCTGTTCAGTACTGTACATCTGCAACGCTATACAGTACTGTACTAATGCAGTACAGTACTGTATAGAGTTTCTCAATTAACGACCAATTCGTTCAACGACCTGGTCGTAGGAACGGAACTCGGTCGTTAAGTGAGGAATACCTGTATACTGGAATTGTCAGAGGGACAGTCCTGGCCAGGGGAGAACCAGTAGAGCACAATCACTGTGTCTCATAACTAAGTGGAAAGCATAGCATGTAGCAGGCCAATGTGGCTTCTTAATATACATATTACATTTACAGCTATGAAGAAGAGCTGCTCGAAACTAAATGACCCCATTCTGCTGTTTTTGTAAACAAAGCAATTAATCACTTGCCAGTATGTGGCCTGTAGCAATGCAAATAATCATTTGTGACTCAACCATCAGCTAATTTGTCAGATATGACACAGAAAGCATTTGTGTAAGCTGAAATTGGTCGCAATATCTTGAGTGATTATTTTCTCAAATTATCAGAATGGTTCCATCTTTGATTTGACACTTTGAAATAAGTTGACAGAGATCAAAAGAAATAAATAAATAAACAATGTTGTCTATAATTGATTGGAAAATCGAAAGATGTGTTCCTCAAGCATTTGGTTCAATACTTGCATGGCCAGAGTCCATGTATTAAAAGGAGGGTTTAGTACCACAGAGACATCCATTCACATAGCACTACTTGTCATAATGAATTCACATCTCTTCACAGGGATTATGGAACCTATAAGCAATATTAAATCTATATTTATAAAATCATTGTTTATAATTCTTATATTCCTCAACTCTCATCTTTGGTTTCTTGCTATTGCTGTATATGTGCTTCCTTTACAACTGTACATACTGAAAACGTGTCATATGACTGCATTATCTGAATAACACCCCTGTGGAGGTCAGAACACTATAAAAATAAATACAAAATAAAGGGTAAAAACTAAAAATAAATCTGCATTCTTATTTTGAATTTCCATAAGTTCTATCTCACGGCTAATAACCATATCCATCTAGAAGTTTGTAAATTTACTTACTGAAGATGCCCATAGGATGTACTTCCTCAAAGCACTGATACAATTTAATTCAGCCCTGTGAATATGCACTTCCTTGTGTCATAGCTCTAACAAAGCCAGACAACTAAATACCTGAACTTCACAATGTAACATTATCATTGCTTCCTGGAAGCAATGCATGATGGGATATGTAGTCTTGAGAAATGGAGATTGCATCACATCAAGAAGCAGGGAAAGAGATGCAAAGCACACTGTGAGTGCAGGAAGTTGATGAAAGTAATGGGCAGACAGAAGGCAGCACTCACTACATAAAATGGATTTTTCAAGTAAGCTTTGATTGCATTATCAGAAACAACTCCAGTATGTATTTCTATTACAATGCTGATGTTATAACAGGAGAGGGTATGATGTGACTTTACAACTCCTTTAATATTAATGAGAATAATATGTGTTACATTGCCTCTATGTTACTGTAATATTATTGATTCTATATTCTAATTTTCAGAGTAGGTCACCCTTTAGGGACACAATAATGTGAACATCCATAAAAATGTAAACAGCCCACTTACTGGCATAGAACAAGCTTACTGTTTATTTAAAGAAGCCCTGTCATAGGTTCTGTTGAAAGATCAAACCCAACTCCCTGATCTTTACCGTTGCCGCAATTCCTGGTGCTGTATTCCTTTGTTGGAGCCACAAGTGCAATGCTTGGGTAAGCGTCATGTTGGATGATGTCAGATTTTACATAATTTGCTTCCATCCCTTATTAGACAGGGTATTGGCTAGACAACCAGCCACTCCATTCACAGCACCTCAGATAAAGGAGAGTAGGTCGTGTCCTCACAAATGCCCAAAAGGTTTTTGTCCTCCCCAATGCCCAAACACCTGGGTTTTTCTAGAGGGTTCCAAAAGAGCAACGGATTGATGGGAAGGCTTGATGAATGTAAGTATTAGCAGGTTCTAGAGAACCGGTCATATTGCTCTGATTTGGAATTGCAGAAGAATCCCAGCATCCTGAATAGACTCTTGATAGTCTCTGCCTGCCCATATATTTTTTAGATCATGTACAGTAGCACTTAAGCCAGAACTTTTCATTGTGGATTAAGGGAGGGTTATAATCTCTGTCAACTTTTTGTCCATCTGAGTCCCATTGGGGAGATTTCCCTTCACTTCCTACCCAATAGCCACACCAGAAGTGAGAGAAAATCCCTCCAAAGTGAAGAAAAACCCTGGTGGTCAGCAGAGTCACCAGAACTGGTGTCCCTATTAGAAGATTTCCCATCTATTCCAGTTCTGGGGACAACTTAGAATTTGGAATGTTATTTCACTTTCAATGATAATGGTCACCAGGACAAATAGGGAGGGTGCATCTCCCTCAAGCTGGCCATACACCTATAGATTATCTGCAGATTTTCTATGGTCAAATGGAAAAAGTGCAACAGATTCCTCCATCTCCAATACCTGAAGAATATGGATGGAAGCATTGTTCAGGTGTTTTGAGAACCAGCGGGGCCGACTAACAAGACACTGAAGCGTTGCCCAGCGGGAGATTCCCCATCCACTCAGTTTAGCGTAGATGGAGGAATCTGTTGCACTTTTTCCATCTTACCACAGAAAATCTGCAGATAATCTATAGGTGTATGGCCAGTTTCACGGGGGCACAGGCAGCAATAAAAAAAAAAACAGACAGGTGTTCTAATGCCTCTCCATTCCATCCAAAAGTTAAAAAAAAGTTTTGCCTCCAGTTGCACTTTATTCCACAGAAGAGGAACAGAATAATTTCTTTTAAAAATCATAACACTAACTAGAGCTGACGTTGAGTTCTTAGTGTCAGTACTGGCACTTTCACTCTTGCATAAAGCCTCTGCTATAAAAACCATTTGCATATTTAAAAAAAAACAGAACATTTTTATGAGCTGGATATAAGGAAAGCGCATTATTTGTATTTGATTAATGCCTTGTCTTACAATTTACAAGAGGCATGTCATTACAGTATGGGAGATATTATCAAAGACCAGCCCAATAAGTAGATCAGAAGAGAATAATTTCTATGGAAAGTTAAGGATCTTTTATTCTCTTTCAGGGAATTGTACTGAAAATGAGGGTTTCTATATAACACTGAACAATTGATGTCACTGGGAGAGCTAGATAAACCTAGCTGAGATGAATGACTTGCTATTTCTATGTGTTCTTAGTCATTTTATCCTTGACCATAATTAAACAAGGAAAGGCCAGCATGGGTAGTGTAATTATAGACACACGGAAAAATGTACAATTTGGAGTCCACTCCAAGTCTCAGTTGTGAATGTGCCGAAATATAAAATCTGTCTAGTGTGCTAGCAGTCTTAAAGTGACACTAAACTCAGGAGTTAAATCCTAAAAATGCATTCATGTACCTGAACTTTTAACAGAAATGTATCTTATGTGTGTATCACTCAGCTGTAGATCCTCAAATCATCTCTGAATTGGTGCTGACACTGTCCTTCCTTCTGGAGGGTGGCTACTTTTGTTCCCCATGTTCCCTGTGTGTGTTGTAAAGTAGCCACCACTCCAAGTTAGCACCTTGTCATCTAATAAAGAGGCCGGGTAAACCCCCATAAGTACCAGGTTTCATTTTTTTATTGTTACAGACAGTGCTGCCACAATCCACTAAAATATCCTGACTTCCGGGGTATGGGGAGAAAGAAAAAGCCCCCAGCCCATTCCACAATGCAGCGATTGATTTCTTAGTCATTATGCCAGAACACTGTAATAAGAAGACGGGAATGCACCCTGAAACAATTGATTGGCTTACCTTTGGAAGTGCATATTTTGGTAGCTTCATCTGCACAAAGTCATTCCGGCGATATGACACATAATACTTGCTCTGGTTTCCTGCAGTTGTCTGCAAAACAGCAAAGGGCAGTGAATTAGTCCACAATAAAATTATTGCACAGGTTGTATTGTACTCTAAAAGACATCATGATAATAACAACAATTTATTGCATGCAGCCTGAATGCAATTGTTTTGTATTATGTGGCGGAACCACTGGCACAACACTCTGCTATGAAGTGTCTGAACCACCATCCAAAATACACCTGTATAGCTGACATTGAAACTGAGGGGTCTATTCACTAAGCTGCCGAAGGATCTAGCCGTAGCTTTGGCCGATCCTTCGGCTAGTTTTACCCCCAGGACCCCTTCTGTTCAGTAGAACTGAAGGGGTGCTGTACGGGCTATTCACTATAGCCCATACAGCTCCCGAAATAGAATATGTTGGAGGCAACCAAAGGTTGGGTAGCTTCTAAATATCAAAATTCTGCACTTGAAGATGTTGAAACACCTGAACGCCCCCTCCTATGCCGCCCTCCTAACAGGATCTGTCAGGGGATTACTCATCTTAAGTGAGTGTTAGGATTTCATATGAAAATGTCCTGGCTTTGAGTATCCTGGGCACTCCAGTAGATCTTTAAAAGAATGAGTAGGCACCTTTGAGTGCCTTCAATATATCCCCAAATTCAAGATTATAGAGCTGAAAGGAGTATTTTCACTAACATTCTTTGCTTTGTTTTCCTCTACTTTGGCTTCTTACTACCCTAGGTACATTCTCTGTAGTGTAAAAGACGAATCTAAGGGGAAGACTGAGACACGCTCAAAAAAGTCACACCATAACGGTGAAATTGGGATTTTGGGTGTGGAGATCTTACCATTAGAATGCCCTTTAGAACCTTTCCCAGAGGGATAATGTCCCTACTGCAGCAATACGCTTGAAGGTCAATCTGAGTGAAAGCCAACTATCCTACTTGCATGCTTTGTGATTGTGGAACAAAACTGGAGCAAACCTTCACAAATAACCTGTATAAATAAGGCTCTGACATAGTGAAACACATCAGCACAAGGCATACTGAAAACAATAAGATAAAAAAAATTTTTTTACTAATTTGGTTTGTATTTGGTGAAGTTGCAGCTTTTACCTTTACTATAAAGATGATGACCCTGTTGGGAATTAAATAAAAGTGCTCATAGTGCCTGGCAACTGTAAATCTATCTAACAGCAGAAGCTGTGTTTTCCTTCCTCTTCCATAAATCACTCATATCCGCATCATATCTTCACATTGTGCTCTCTATAAAGGGAGCAGCCATTTAAACCATCCATCACTGTCCAGCCTCATATCACTGGAACGGCCATCAAGCAAAATGAATTGCTCTTATCAGCTGCTGGTAACACTTTTGATTTAAATTCTCTATTCTGACAGAAGCTAGCGTTTTGAGAGGTAACAGTAAAGTGGACGGGAGCCTCACAGGAACTTAATTAGATTAAGCAGATTTATGGGACAAACAGATTTTATGATATATCTTGACATTTTTTGGAGGTTGCTGCTTACTTAGTGACAGGGAAAACAGAATATGTACTTACCTGAATCAAGGCTTCAAAAGTGCACATTGCAATGCAGCCAGAGTATTGTAAATACTTGGCATTTATTATCAGGAAGCCTTGGATCCTGGGATATATGGCCATTGAAACTTATTTGAAGACTCTTTGTGGTGAATGCTAGATTTCAATAATGACTTGCAAAGGAAGAGCTGTTTTACTAAGTGCTGCTGACATTTCAATTTATTAAATATCTCTCTTTCTCTCTCTCTATATATATATACTGTAAATATACACAATCTATTTTTCAAAATCAGTTTGTACAGCTTTGTTATCATCTGGAGAAGTGGTCGCAGCAAGAACTGTCTCATACCTTACCCTTGGAACATCCTCTAGGGCAACGTTTCTCAACCTTTTTTCAGTCACGGCACCCTTTAAAGTTGTGCAAAATCTCCAGGCACCCCAGTCTAAAATGTTGTGGATTTAAAGGGGGACCCCATGCAAAAACACACAAAAAAGTGTGTTTCCCCCTTTCCATCGAAGTGCCCTCCTTCAAATCAAGATCTCCCTCCCTTCACATCAAAGCCACCCATTGCATCAGTAACTCCTTTCACATCAGAAGCCCATCTTTTCTTATCAGAGTCCCCTCCCCATGACATCAGAGTGTTCCATTTACGCTTTACAGACATGACACATGTGTTGTCTAATGTATGAGAGATAAGGAGGTAGATCAGGGGGAATAAAAGTGTATCCAAGAGGGGGAGGGGGAGCTCGGGGAATTGTAGGAAAGTGAGGGTAATGGTGGCGCCAACCCTCCATTCACACTTCAGAGCACTTATCTTTCAAGATGTTGTACATTTTGGCAATATAAGGTTTCCATAATGAGACCCAGTAAACATAGCTAGCTCACGTGGTGGAGAATTGGCAATGGTGGAGAAATGGTAAACTGATACTAAAAATGTGTTAACCGTCTATTAAGACCCCTTTTAATGCAAAATCAAGAATGAACAAGGATGTATTTATTTAGACACAACATGTCAAACGCTTGATATTGACATACTGGGGAAGGATTAGACCCTTTGTCAGGTTTTTATTTGTTGTCTTTGTTGCCAATGGGGAGTTTTTCCATCACTTCTTGTTTTTTCTCATGTGGTTACAGGAACAGGAAAAAAATTAGATTTTTCTCCAACAACATCACCTACAGCAAGACTGTTGTCCATCCAAAACTGAAAAGAGAAAGTGTTGGATGGAGTTGAGCTGTAAGCAAACATGGCACACGAATGACCATAAAATGTACATGCTCCTTTTTTAAACAATCCTTTTAAATCCTCCCCTCTAGGATTTCATGCAAAGACAAAACTAAAATAGGATTAAGATGGTTGGATCTTCAGTAAATCTACCGAAGGAAATACAAATTAATGTTTTTTGGGTCTAGTATTAAGACTGAGTTCTTGGTATTCACATAAATGTGTGTGTAGATTCAAGGTATTAAGTAAACATGGCATTTTGTAATTTAGCCAGCGTCGGTAAAACAAATATAATCCCCAGGGGTAGTCAGGCCTGCTGCTTACTATATCTAAACCCTTTTAGTCAATTATGGAGCTTGCTAAGATGATAGTTTTATTATAAAGGAGACAGTGTGAGGATAGCTGAACCGAGAAACGTGATTAACTTAAGTAAGATGCTTATGGATTTCAGTCGGGAATGATTTTCATTCTTAGCAAAAGCCATGTCTGATTCAAACCGAAGAGAGAGTCTAGGTAACCTTATAAGAACCCATTAAGACCTCCAGTCTAGGAGCACACACTCACGTTGACTTTTTTAGCTAATTTTTGCGTCAACAAAGTATTTGGAGCATGACCCTTAACCTCAAAAGTCCTAGAACTGTATTATTCATCCACAAGATTTATAGCTATTTTAAGGAACCACTGTGGAAGTATAACACCATATCTCTTAAACACTTTATATAGATTGTGATTGGAACAGATAGTCTTTGCAAAGTGCCCAAAATGGGGCAGAACTACGGTTCAAGTGGTCAGCGCCAGCTTCATGAGTTCAGTTTACTGCAGGAAAACTAGAACTGTATGTCTTTACAGGATTCCCACAGTCCAAAAACATTCTGCCAGATTAATAAGCTTCCACCCAAAACTGTCCCTAGAGCCCATATGCCTGTATGAATGTAGTCCTAGTTTTAGGACAAGAAGTTATCTGTTTACTATGTAACAGTATATATGTCATCATTTCATCATATACGTGAATAAAGTATGATCAAGAATCCCTATATTAAAGGGGCTGTTTGCTTAGAATAGAAAGGTGAAAACACATTTAAGGTCTCTGTTGATGGGCTTTTCTTCATGTCACGCAGGATTTGCATTCTCATACAAGTCTATGGGAATTAAAAACCTACTTAAAGCAGGTAAAATGCAGCACAGAAGGAGATCAACTGCAGGTCAAATGCACCTATCTAATACTTAAAGAAGAACTATAGGGTAAGTGTTTTTCCTCATAGTCCTCCTAAGGGTCACGGGAGGACATATACTAGCGTCCTCCTGTGACCCAAAGCTCAGTATATTGCAAGCTACAGCTCGCGGTATACTGAGACCGCCGCAGTTGGGACGGATCCCGACATTACTGTCGAGATCCACCCAGCTGTGTGAGTGACAGCTGGCTCTGCCTATCTAGACGCAGAGTCAGCTGTACTTGACCCCTCCCCCATCTGTTCCGCCAGTCTGCGCTGGAGGATTGGAGTGGGGAGGGGGGGAATCCCTGCAGGGGGCCGTGAGTGACAGACACAGCAGGGACTTAATCGAGAAGTGAGCGAGCGATGGTATGTGTTTGTACACTTCTCGATCTATTCAGCCGACGTGTGACAGTTTAATTGTCACACGTCGGCTCCAACTATGAGGTTGAGTGAAAATCACTCACCTCGTAGTTCTCCTTTAATGATCTCTGAAATATTTCATACTGATGTCAAACTGATGCCTAGGATACAGGCCCCTATCTATAGTGGAGAATGATTTGTATCCTTCTTCTTAGAACCCGTGTAGCACCCTTGTGGCAGGAGTGCTATCAAATTTAGTGTTTTCAGATTGTATGCAGTCTGATGCTGATTTGTAGTCTGTGTTCATTTGGTTTCCTCCAATCAATCTGTCATTGTTTGCATCTGTCTGCTGCTGGGCGTACCCTGGTCACAGAGTAGAGTAACCAATGAGAGAATGTTATGAGTAGGTATCCCTTTCCAGCCAATCACTGTGAGGCTAATGGCCAGTGGTGCATGCTGGGGGAGAAGATAAATGCTGGGGGTGTACCATGTGAGCTCTCTCTTCCTCCCCCTGGGGCCTGCCTCTGGGGAGGCTGCTATGGACTGTCTGAGATGGCTAGGACTGAAGTCTGGGGACTAGCCGTGTGCCTACACTTGAGCCTGAGTCTGGTGGGCCAGTGGTTACTACTGATAAGGATGAACATGACTGATGACTTCTACCTCCTGTGCTGCTGTGCAAGGTGTTCTTCCTGCTGTGAATGGAGACAGCTA